AATGTAAAGCAAAACCACAATGAAATACCATCTTACATCTGTTTAGGAAGGCCACCATCAAAACAATAACAATGACAACACACTAGAACCTCCTAGAAAACAACAAGCATTGGTGAGGATGTGGAGAAATTGAAAACTTTGGTGACTATTGGTGGTGAGACTGTAAAATGGCACAGCAGTTGTAGAAAAGAGCATGGAAGTTCCTCAAAAAATTAAAAATAAAATTACCATATGATCCAGCCATTCTACTTCTGGGTATATATGCAAAAGATTTCATGGGCAGGATTTGAAGAGATATTTGCTCACTCATGCTCACTGCAGAATTATTCATAATAGCCAAGAGGTAAAGGCAACCTAAGTGTCTGTCCATCAACAGACAAACGAATAAAGAAAATGTGGTATATTCATACAATGGAATATTATTCAGCCTTAGAAAAGAAGGAAATTCTGGCATATGCTACAGCATGGATGAACGTTGAGGACCTTATGCTAAGTAAAAGAAGTCAGTCACAAAAAGACAGATACAGCAGGATTCCACTTATACTAAGTATCTAAAGTAGTCTAAGTCTTAGAAACAGAAAGTAGAATGCTGGTTTTCAGGCCTGGGGGGTGGGGCAAAGGAGAGTTATTGTTCGATGGATATAGAGCTAAAGCTTTATAAGATGAAAAAGTTCTAGAGATCTGTTGCCCGGCAATGTGCTTATAGTTAACACTACTGTACAGTACACTTAAAATGGTTATGATGGTAAATTTTATGTTACGTGTTTAGACCGTAATAATAAAAAAAGGGGATTTCAAATATAAGATGTCCTTTGGTAAGAAATCTCAGGAGAGCTCCTTTATTAATTTATAAGCTGTGTTTAGGAAATAGCACAGGTTCCAGCGTCTACTGTAATTCAAAACTTTTTAACTATAGCTTTCGTTGAAATGATGCTATGAACAAGTGGAGTCATACATTAAAAAAAAGACAGGATCCTTGGAGGGGGTGGCTTTCAAGCTGGATGTTAAAACAAGCAGGACTCAGTAGGCAGAAGAGAGGGGGAAGGGAAGAGTGAAGCAAGGGGAATTGGCTGCGCCAGCACGGGTGGGGTGCGGGCAGAGAAGGCAGGTTGTGTCTGCAAGGCACGGGCACTGGGTGGCTTATGACACGGGAGTGGTGGGAGGGGTGGCCTGGGAGGGAGAGCAGGTAGGATTTGTGGAGGGTTTTTAAACTGCAAGCGAAATAGAAGAGAGTTCAAGTGGTTGGAGAGGGGCAGGAGGAGATCAAATCTTGTATGGGACAAATCCGGGAAGGACGCGCCCTGGGGAGGCACAAGGGTTGGCCGCGAAGGAGGAGAGGACAAAGCGGGTCTGATGAAGGCGGAGCCAGGACGTGAAAGCGCCAGTCTGCGGCCCTTCCAGGCCGGCCATCAGATTCACCTGCAGCCAGGCTGATCACGCGCGACCTTCCCTTGAACCCCGTCAGGAAATCACTGCGAAATCCCCCATTCCCATAAATTAAAGACGACCACGGTAGCAACGACAGATCGGGGGCAAACAACAGTGGCCTCGCAGCTGTCCCTGCCAGCAGGGGTCTTTAACACCCACTGCTTGGGGTAGGAGCCGTTGGGGTAAGATAACATCACACTGTCTCCTAAATCAGTTTTGTGCTGTGACCCAAAAGAAGAGCTCCGGGTGGGGGCCAGGGATTCCCCGCTTTCCTGATTATTTACTGGAGCAAGTCAGCTCCACCTCCAGAGTGACCGGGAAGCAGCTGGGGCTGGCGGAGGAAGGAGACCAGAGAGCAGAGAATGTTTCCTCTCGAAACGAAATTTTAGTCACTTTCCGTTGCCTGGGCTCCCTCCTCAGCTGGCCACTATGGGACATATTTGCCAAGCACAACTCACACCGAACCCCAATCCAGCGGATCTCTGAGCTCCAAGCTCCTAAATGATGATAGCTGGGTTTTAGGACCAAGAATGGTTCCAAGAAATTCTCACATCTTACACCTCGGACTCGGGAATTTCTGAGACAACATATTTGAAATATTCAATTCCGTTGACTCTGTAGGGATATTTGTCAGACTGTGTTGCAAAGGCTGGTTCTGGAAATACGGGTCTAATACCATTCATAGCTGCCATTTGTTGAACTGGCCAGACACAGTATTAATCTCGTGGATCACTGCACTTAACCATCTCTATATAGAAAGTGTTATTGTGTAGGGAATCCACCCAGTGACCCAGGATTGGTGGAGTGGGGTAGGGGTTCCTTGTGGCTTTGTCTCTTGTGAGCTGAATTCCAGATTCCTGAGTTGGTTGTGAGCCTTGCTCACCACTTTCCCCTTTCTTTAGGCTCTTACAAAGCCAATCTTCCCCTCCAGTTAAATTCCAAAGGAAGACTCAAGCAACTAGCTGGGTGATAAAGATTCCTGTGCGGAACAGAAATGTCTGGGTCTGGTACCCCAAAGAATGAATGAAAGTCAGCTTGCTGTGCTCTGCCTCATGTGACTGCAGCCAGTGCTGCTGCTCCTGGGGGAGCCTCGGGGGAGAGCCTGGGGCTCCTCCTGGATGAGATTCTCTCTCGACCAGAGGATGACCCTATGAAGAGTGCAGGGCATTCAGCAGAGGTTGCCCATGCGCTCTTGGTCAGCTGCTTAGCGTGTGAGCTTAGTCCCTAACACAGTGCCCAGGGCCCCTGGCTGAAAGGAAAGATGACACATTTGGGTCTTGCTGAAACACAGAGCAATGTTGCCTAAGCCCAGCTCTTGGCTTTGTCCATGCCTTCCAAATGCCTTGGCTCCCAGTTCCTGGAAGGTGGCTGCTTGCAGCCAGGGGAGAGATGGGCACTGAGGGAGGAGCTATGGGAGCAGGCACAGTGGAGGGCGAGCTCTTCACCTAGGCATGGAGCCAAGTCACTGAGAGTTCCTTGGAGAGGAGAGGCAGGGAGTGCCCCATTCTGGGCACATCTCCAGCCAGGGATGGGAATAGTCCGGGATTTAACCAGCTGGGGCTTAAAGGGCCCTTCTGTTGAGCCACCGGGAAGGCTGTAGTCATTGTCATCCATTGTGAGCACATTGAGATGTGTCTTCAAGCATGGAGACCAAATATTTCAAAATGAGCACTGTGCTTGAAATCTATTGAAGGGTGTGGGATTTGGGGTCTAAAGTCCAGGGTTTTAGCTTGCTTCCTTCTCTGGGGTGTCAGACCCACTCCACTCTCGGTTTAACGCAGGAATCTATCAACCAACTAAGTAATTGAGTCTTCCTTTGGATTTAACTGGAGGGGAAGGAGGCAGGAAAGAGCAGCTTTATAAGAAAGGGGAAAGTGGTGAGTAAGGCTCACAACCAACTCCAGGAATCTGGAATTCAGCTCACAAGACAAACCCACTGTGATGGGGCCACAGCCACGGTCCCCATCGCCGGAGAATCTTAGTGACCAGGGGTTAAGGCTCAAGTAACTAGCTGGGTGATAAAGATTCCTGCACTGAACAGAGTGGGTCTGGTACCCACTGGGGTTGAGGGGTTTCCTGGGACACTGGACTTTCAAGGCTAAAACCAGGAAAGGTCTTGGTAAATCGAGGTGAGGTTTCACTCTCATTTGACTCTATCCTAGCAGCATTCCCCTCAAACTTTCCATCTCTTCTTTCCACACATACAGAACCGAGATACTGATCAGATCTGCTGTACACACGACCTGGAAACCTGGTAAGACTTAAAAAGAGCTAATTGATGTTTCCCATATTACCTTGAACCTCCCCAATCATAACACATCCATGGCCAGACAGGCATCTGCAGGCCTCCCCTCCCTGTCAGTTTGAGCTCTTTTGGGGTAAGACCACCTTAATCTTCTCTGCATCCCCAGGGCCTTGGCCAGTGCTTGGCAGAGAAGATGTTTGTGAAACCTGTGCAAAAGGCTTGGTGAAGCAAAGTACAGTGTTCTCATTGGTTGGCACTCATTTTCTACCTGCCCCTGGTTAGCCCCATGAGAAGGTCCTCTATAGGTTCAGACAGAAGGATGTTGCCCCCAGGGCAGCTGTCAGCAGGACATAGCGGGTAGTGAGCACAGGAAGCGCAGGCACTGCCTTGTCCTGGGCAAGGTGGGGACAGGGAACCAGAAAAGAGGTGAACTAGAGGTGAGGAAGCCAGGGAGGCCCTCAGGGGAGATGAGAAAGCAACAGGTCCCCACCCCAGGATGGAGAGGGACTTCAGCTGGGATCTGAATGAGCACGCGGGCTCCATCCCTCTGGGGCTGCAGCCCTGAGTCAGGCTTTCTCTGCATCCTGAAGTCCAGTGCTTGCCCTTGGCAGTCCTCCGTCCCTGCTTCCGACCGTCCCTGAAGTCGGTGATCCTTCAGGAGGACCTCAGAGGGGTGTCCTTCCCTGGGAGTCACCCAGATCTCAGCAGGCCGAGTTGCTCCATTGGCCTGGGCATGGCTCAGCTGAGCAGGGTGACAGCTTGGGGTCAGTGTGCCCTGATTCTCAGTAGCTCCATCTCCCCTCACTCCTGCTTCCCTTATCCAAGGCCTATGCCTGCTTTCTCTGGCCTCTGGAGACCTAGGGGCCTGGGGTCCCAGTCTTCATCCTAGCCCTCCAAGCTTCCATCTCAACTGACTCCTCTAATGAGCAAACCCTGTGGCTCTGGGGCCATTTGGAGCTGGCTGGGGCATGGTGGGGAGAAGCATGGTCCAGAGGCAGCCTGGATCTAGGAAAACTCCTCTCCAGCCCTTGCCAACTTACACTGGGGCTCTGTCCCATAGAGCCTCCAAATCTCTCTGGATCATGTTTCATTCTCTGGCTGGCACATCCTTCCTGGGGCCCAGGAGTGCTAGGGCCACAACCACCATCCCCATCACCAAAAAATCCTAGAACTCAGACTAGAAGAAACCCCACAGGTAACTCCTGCCTTCAGGTAGGTTAGATCATATTCACAATTCATGGTCAGGGTAGCCAGGCTCAGAGAAGGCAAGCAACCTTCCCTAAGGTCACACAGTAAAGGAATGGTCAGTTACTCCTCAGCCACCTACCTGAACTCTCCTTTCTCCGCCTGGTTGACTTCTTCTCCATCTCATTGGCAGCGCTCCCAAGGGCCTCGAAGTCCTCGCCTGGGCCTCCTGTGGCATCCACCAGGCCTGGGCTGCTGGCCCCCATCCCCCTAGAGCCCCCAGCTGGGCCCGAGTTGAGCCTGCGCCGGGCCTCGGAGACAGGGAAGTGCCAGTCGGGGGGCTGCGGGAAGGCAGGGTGCCGCTCGGTGAAGATGCGCTCCTCCCGGGGCAGGCTGTGTGGGGCAGCTGCCAGGCAGGAGGCTGAGAAGTCAGGATATGTTACCGTTGCTGCTGTCGCCGGGAAGTCTGGTTTCTGGTGAAAGGAGAACGGGGTTGGTGGACAGTGGGGTAGCCCTGAGGCCCCACTGCCTTCGGAGTGGGGATTTCGAAGGCAGCCCCAGACAGGGGCCGGGGGGTGAGGGCTCCTCATGCAGCTGCTGGCCACAGGATCCATCTGCCGTCTGCTGCACACCTCAGTCTTTTCAAAGGTTTGATTCTTATACTTTTTATATTCAGTTTTTTAAATGCAAAAAAAAAATTAAATAGGAGGGAAAAATGTTCAACAGAAAATTCACCCCAGGAACAAAACAAAAACCAAAATTAAAGTATCTCCTTAAAGTACACACACATGTAGCTGGCTACACATATGTGTGTGCACACACCTATGTCGGGCTTCACTCCTGGCTTCCTGCCCCACGACACACCAGTCTGCCTATTGGGGTCCCCTGTGCATGTATTTGTTGCCGATGACACCAAACATTTTCACTGCCCTGGCCCAGACACACCAGCTGGTGAGTGCATGTCCTGGAGCCCACAGCAAATGCCTGCAGAGGGCTGGACCAGGGCTGCTGAGACACACTTTTAAATCCTGCGGTGGGGCGAGAGTGACAAATTTCTAAGTGAAACGTGAGAGAGGAGAGGGAGGGGTTAACCCACACACACGATCCCCTCCAACCAAAACCCGAGCAGGCAACTATTAATCATCAGAAACCTTATATGCACATCTAATGGGATTTGCAGATGGAGACTTTTAAAGAAACATTGTCTGCATTTCTTTTTTAATTTTAAGGAAAGAGAGCTGCACACACATACAACTTCTTTAATGTGCCTCCTGTAACACTATGAAGGTATTTTATTGCACTGTTAACAAAATTCCCCACGTCTTGGATTTGGAAAAAGCCTTAAGTCAGATCCAGAATCCATCAAGTGCCAAATTCCAGGGAGTGAAGCGGAGAGTAAGTGCAAGAGACAAGTTTGCTGATTGCATTTGATTTAAAGGCCCCTCTACTGCTGCTTGCAAAAAGGAAGGCGGATTAAAAGAAATCTTTTTTTGCAAGTCTCAGCGGCCCACTATGGTCTGTCGTATAAAGAAAGACACACTCCAGAAAAAAGCATTTCTTTCTGCACAAAGTGACATCGTCACTTTCTCAGTAACTTAAAAAAACAATCAGATTCTTCCTTCCGCTCTTTAACCCCCAACTTACATGCCAATTAGCCACATTCTTCTCTAGAGGAGTTTCAAGCCATTTTTCTCCATGGCAAAGGAGAAGTTCTTAGATAAGGTCCTTGAAGTTTCTCCAGGCCTCCCCACCTGCTCCCTGGCCCCCTAACCTTCACCCAACTGCTTTCCCTGCCCCTGCCCCAGAGGCCAAGTCTTCCATGGAATCATGGCATGGAAATAGCAATCAGGGGGATTCTCATTCTGAAAGGAGTTTTCTTTGGCAAATGGTCACATGGTTTTCCTGGCTGGTGCCTATCACAGGAGGACAAGCAGTTATTTCAACTGGTCAGTCAGGCCACTTAATCCCCAGGCCCCACTGGTCTCTCTGGAAGGTTAGTGTGATGTTTTGGAGGATGACATTCCAAGCACGTGGGGCCAGAGCTCCTCTCCCACCAAATATTTCCATGGCCTACAGCAGCAGGATTGGGGCTAGAAAGGGCATGGATCGTATAAGCAATGTTTCTGCTGGCTGGTTCCAAAGACTCCCAGGGTTCCCTGAAGAGGGGCCACCAGGCTTAGCTCTGCAGCCTGGAGGCTGCACACATGCTCTTCATGAAGTAGTCATCCTGTCTTCTGGAATGGTCGGCCAGGGAGCTATAGGCCAGTGGAGGAGGCAGGGTCATAGCCACAAACCAGACTCATATCTCTGCTTTGTCCAGGTCTTAGCTGTTGCATACACTGGCTCCTCTGCATCTCATAATTCTCCCTCGTATAGGTAAAGTAAGAATTCATGTTCTACATTTTGCACATGAGGAAAATGAGGCTCAGATAGATGTGGGCTGCTCAGAATCACACAGCTAAGAAATGACAGAACTAGGAGTTGCCCTCTGGTGTCCCCCAGTTGTCCAGTCCGGAGCAGCTTGATGCAGAGGAAGGTACATGGATTTCGGGGTCAGACAGGTGTGAATTCAAATCTTGGGTCTGCTACTTCCTGGCTGTGTGCCCTGGGACAAGATACCTCACCTCTCTGAGCTTCCATTTCCTCTTCTGGAATGACAGTCATAGATGACACTCACCCACTGATTTTAGCACCTCCCACATATTCCCAAGGAATGCCCACAAAAGCTGAGGCATGTGCTTTTCTCATCATCTCCATTTTTCAGAAAAGGTCTCCAGATCACAGAGAGATTGTGTAACCTGTACAAGGTCACATAGCTGGGAAGTGGAGGACCCAGGATTCAAACCCAGGCGGCTTACATTACAATGCCCACCCCACAGCCATCTGAGAGTTTTAAGTGAACCATTTATGTGAAGCACAGAGTAGGTAATAGATAAACGTGGCTCCCTCCCTAGCCCTAAGTTGATGATCCTGAAGGGAGGCCTTGCATTTGGGAGCACTGAGGAAATTCTACGGAAACAGCCTTGTGAGGTCCCTCGAGGGGTTCTGGCTGCAGAGGCTCTAGAAAGAATCCACAGGAGGCTCGGGAGAAGATCTGGCCTGTCAGCTTCCCTAGGAAAACCTTCCCGGAGGCCTGACCTGCATGCTGTAACCGGATTCCTGTTCTGGCCTCTGCATCTGGCCCAGGGACCCCATCCCAGGGAGACCCGGCCGCCTGGCCCTTTGCCCCTGGAAGGGGTGGGCTCTGGGTCGAGGTCAGGTAGAGGGGAGTTCAGAAGGGGCAGTGGAGAGGGGCACGGCAGGGGTACTCTGTGCTCTGTGCAGGGTCTTGGCGCCCTGGTGCCCCACAGCTGCCTGCGTCTGTCAGCCACCCCGCCAGGAGCGGCCAGGGGCCTGCTGGCCTCTACATCTTCCTGACAGGCCCTTCTTCGGAGGCCAGGAAAAAACAACAGTCCCTCCCCTCACGGCAACCCATTTGTTAGATGAAGGCCGGGCACCAGCACCTTTAACCTCCCCAAAGTCAGCATTTCCCTGTCAAGGCCCCGCATGCCCTGGGACAGAGATGGATGGAAGTGGCTGTTTGTGGACACAGCCAAGGGAAGCAGCATTTTCAGGAAGGGAGGGGACCCCATTCTGGTTGTGTCTGGGGATGGCAGGGGGCGGATGAGGAAAAGCACGTGTCAGGAGGACAGTGGGTTTGGCCACAACTGAGCCACGCCAAAGAACTTTTGGAATGTCCCCCATTGTGCGTGACAAGAGGCGTGTCCTTGGTGCCACAGACCTGCCTCCGACAGGCCACCCTGCCCACGTGTGCCTGGCATTGCAGGGAGCCTGAGGGAGAGCCTGGGGCCTGGAGGCAGGTGATTCAGGTTCAAGGTGTGGCCTCGCCCTCCATTGGTTATGTGGTCTCAGGCAAGTCGCACCCCTTTTCTGAGCCTCAGTTTTTTCACAGGCAGATGGAGGTGACAGCATCAGCTTCATGTGGTTCTCCTTCCTTACTCTGCTGCCACTGGGTTGGTCATGTCTTGAAGGAGGATGAAGATGGCCCTTCCTAGCCCCTCAATGCCTCATGGAAATGTAACAGAGGGTCAAGATCATGGCCTTGGGGATCAGAAGAGCATGAGTTCAGATCCCAGCTCTGCCACTCACAGGCTGAATGGCTTTGAGAAACTCACTTTATCACCTGAGCCTCAGTTTCCTCATCTGTAAGATGGGGATAAATGTTTCCTTCTTTTCTTATTGGGTTACTGAAAGAAGTGAGTGAGGTGATCTAGGAAACTCTTGCCATAGTCTAGTATATAGTTTCTAGTGGTAGTATCTGGAGAATGATGATGATGAAAATAGCTAAGATTTCCACTGTAAGGACAACTCCCGGAAGGCCCTGTGACATATTTAAATGCTACCCAAGAGGGAGAAGATGAAGTCATTAGCATTCACTCACATAGTAGAACATGAGAATTGGACAAAACACCTTTTCCTGAGCCAGACCTTGAGGGATGGGACAGGAGACAGACAAGCTTTGAATATGGTAGAAATTGCTCTGGGTGAGGTTTTACTTGGGATGTATGTGTTCTTGGCTTCTCAGAAGGCTTTGAGGCAGCAGGGTCATTCCTGCCTTGTAGAATTTTTATGAGGCTCCTATAATAAGATGGGTGGGACAGAGTTGAGTAAATCGCAGAATATGGTCCTCATGACTGTCACAGATGCCCCTGAGAAGCCTGCAAGGGGGGACCAAGACATTCCACCCTAGGGAGCCAGTGATGGGGTCTTTTCCTAAACCCAGAAACACTGCTTTATTAGAGACAGTCTTCTCAGATGAAACATTTCTCTTGTACATATATTTTAAACCTTTGGTGTTGGTTGTCACTTCCAAACCCTGGCTCCTGGAGGTCACATGACCTCGGTTTCCTCGGCTGGAAAGTGGAGGCTTACTGTATGGATTGGACTCAACATGCCCTGTTCAGGGCTTCTATCCCTGAATTAATAGAGATTTTGCAAAGGTGCAGCATGGTGTCCCTGGCAGGGCTTGGGCGGGAGAATTTGTATCACTTAGGAGGCAGCTTTTTTGAATGGGAAATTCAACATAGCAAAAGAGAAACATACAGAGTTTATTATTCTCACCAATAAAATGAGTCTGGAGGTGGCAATTCAGGCTGAAATGGCCACTCCTCAAAGTCACCAGGGACCCAGGCATTGCCTCTATTTCTGCCTTGCTCCTTAAGGGCCTCCTCTTCCAGTTGGCTGTCCATGCTCAAGTGTCATGTTGGCGTACCAAGTCTGGGGAAGGAGGAAGGACAAATGTACTCTCCCCATCCAAGGAGACTTTCTCTAAGTCCTGATCAACACCTGCTCTTTGGCCTCATTGGCCAGTGCTGTTCACTTGGCCACTTGTAGCTGCAAGGGAGGCTGGTCCGGATAACCCTTGTCTCTTCTCCGTCCTCATCGACATTTCCTTTCTCAAGGAAAAACTTTGAGCAGTATAGTTAGATGAAATACAGGGTGTCCAGTTAAGTGTGTTCCATGGAATATTTGGGACATACCTGGGCAAAAAATGACAGCTGACCCTTGAACAACATGGGTTTGGATTGCACCAGTCCACTTACAAACAGATTTTTTTCAATAAATATGTTGGAATGTTTTGGGAGATTTATGACAATCTGAAAAAACATTTTCTTTTCTTGAGCTTTTTTCATTGTAAGAATACAATATATAATACATATCACATACAAAATATGTGTTGATCAACAGATGAAAACTGTTTCTGTCAACAGTAAGACTTCAGGTCAGCAGTAGGCTATTGGTAGTTAAGTTTTGGTGGAGTCAAAAGTTATCTGCAGATTTTTGACTGCATGGAGGGGTCAGTGCCCTTAACCCCTGTGTTGTTCAAGGGTCAGCTGTATGTGTTGTTTATCTGAAATTCAAATCTAACTGGGTGTTCTTTTCTTCCCACCTAAAACTGACA